GGGAGAGGAGGGTGCTCAAGGGTCACCCCAGCCCCAGGGCAACCACGTGCAGCTGCCTCCACCCTGGCACGCTCAGTTCTCCTCTTTGGAGGGGCCTGAATGTGACATTCCACACCCTGCTAACACCCTCATGGGAGGGGGTGTTTATTCTGGATGTTTTTTTTCACTAAGAAGCTCAAAGACTTGTTTTCTTTGAGTTCTCTCTGGTAACAGTTGCCAGAGGTTTCTTGGTCTACCTGCTCAACTTGGATGGTCTTTGGGGTTGAGGCTATGATCTAGTGGTTAGGGAAATTAGGAGGAAGGTTGGACTTGATGATCCTGGAGGCCCTTTCCAATCGTGGTGATTCTATGATTCTGTCATTCAGGAGAAAACTGCTCCCAGTGAAACCAGTGGTTACACACTAAGATCAATGGGAGTGTGTTTCTGGCAGTGCCCTGGTGGCAGCTCCACCTCTATCCTTGCTTAGAGCTTCCACATCCCAGCTGCCCAGATTTCCATGCCCAGGATGATGTTTCTGGCTGCTCTAGCTACAAACCCAGCCCCAGATCAGAAAGTGAAGCTGTCTGTCTGCCTTCATGCTGCTGGGAAAGATTCAGATGGCAGAAAAAAGGGATGGTTTCTGGAGGACAGCAGAACAGTCCATCTAAAGGGCCCACAAGGCCTTGATGCATCTGCAGGAGACAGTCAGAGGCGAGGAACAATCGCTGCCTCCCGGCTGTTCCTGCAGCCACAGCCCAGCCAGGGAGAGAGGAGTGGGGGTGTTGCTACACTGGGTGGCTCCTTCCAGCAGCAGTTGCTTGTCCCACCCCAAGAGCAAGCAGTGGGGCAGCACACTCTCCTCCACAGCTCTTGACCTGCCCCACCATCACCCATCAATAAACAGGGTGAGTGTGGTGGGAAGCCCTGAGCTGACTCCTCAGCACAGCTCCAAGCAGCAGCTCAGCCCTGGGCCCCGCGGGGCAACGTTTGGTGCACGACCTGCTGAGGTGAGATCTCGGGGGACTCAAGGCCAGGAGCAGGCTGTGGGCTGACCTGATCCTCTGCCCCAGCCAGTTTTCACCAGGATCTCATATTTGTAGAGGCCGTTCTTGCCACAGAAGGGGATGACCCCAGCCCTGCCCACGTCCAGCACGTCCAGCTTGTGCACGATCAGCGCCGCCACCGAGTAGGTCACAAAGCAGACAGCACACGTCAGCAGCACGATGTAGTTCAGACCTGGGCCTGGAGCCTAGAAGAAAGGAAGTATGTTGAAAGTCACTCTCCTTCCCCAGAGGGATCCCCCATCCCCCAGTGCTGCCTCCTTCCCAGCATTGCCATTGTTCACACACATAATGCTGCAGGGAAACGGCCCCTCACTCCCACAAGGACCTTGAGGGGCTGGAGCGTGGCCAGAGAAGGGCAACGAAGCTGGTGGGGAAGGGTCTAGAGCCCAAGTGTGGGGAGGAGCAGCTGAGGGAGCGGGGGGTGCTGAGCCTGGAGCAAAGGAGGCTCAGGGGAGACCTTCTGGCTCTGCACAGCTCCTGACAGGAGCCTGGAGCCAGGGGGGGGTCGAGCTCTGCGCCCAGGGAACAAGCAACAGGACAAGAGGAAAGGGCCTCAAGTTGTGCCAGGGGAGGTTGAGGTTGTCCCTGAGGAACAATTTCTTCCCCTTGAGGGTTGTCCAGGCCTTGCTGCCCAGGGCAGTGCTGGATTCCCCGCCCCTGGAGGGGTTTCCAAGCCGTGGAGATGTGGGGTGAGGGACACGGGGCAGTGGGGACCTGGCAGTGCTGGGGGATGGTTGGACTTGGTGATCTTAAAGGTCTTTTCCAATCAAAACGACTCTTCTGCTCCCATGGAGGGACCTGTCCCTGCTCAGAGCATGTGGAGTGACTGCAGCACCTGAACCTCCTGTAGCAGCTGCTGAGGACTCTCTGCTCCCACCTACATCACACGGACAGAGCTGGAGGAGCCTGGATGCCCCTGGGAAGCTGGGAGCAGCTGGCAGGTGCTGGGAGGAGCATCTGGCATCTCACCAAGAGGTGATCACACCCTGAGGTGTCCGGGATAGAGAATAAAGCCATCTACAAAGGCCTGTTTTTAGCAGCAGCAGCCAGGATTCACGGTCAGGAGCCCCAGTCCCTCTGGGAGCTGTGCCCATCTGCAGCTCCCAGAGGCTCTCAGGTACTGGTGCTGGGCTGCCAGCTGGGCACAGGTCAGCCAGGACCCAGCTTCAACGGGGAGCTAACAGGAGCCCAAGGCTTTGCTCTAGGTGGCAACAACATGCTCGGCGTGTGGCCACGCTGCACAGCCTCTGCTTTGATCTACTCACAGGGAAGATGAACTGGACGGAGTTTGGGGGGACAAAGAGACTGGCCCCAAAGGCAGTGAGGTGCTGGGTCAAGCAGACAGCCTGGTCTGGCCTGGTCTCCTCCAGAGGGATGATGCCTTCTGTCTTCCAGCGTTTCTCCTGCTCGCTGAAGTACTGGCAGAGGGAGGTGTAGAGCCCCAGGGTCACCTCCACTGGGGACCAGCTGAAGTGGTTTGTGATGTTCAAGTAGTATTTCTGGATGGTGTCATCAGTTCTGGAGAGGGAAAGACAGCAGGGAGACATCATTAACCCACTTGCTGAAGGGACACAGCCCTGTCCTGATGGATCTGCCCCCATGGAAACCCCCCTGCTGCAGGGACAGGCGAGAGGAACAGCCCAGGGAATGTGGTGTCAGTCACACCCCCCTGGCTGTGCAGAAACTCTGGGCTTCCACAGACCACTTTAATCCTTTATCTTTGTATTCTTTCATCACCTGGGGCACCAAGCTGCACACCCCCTGTGCTGGCAGCCTTGCCCAGCCCTCCCACCCACCCTTCCCCACGTCTCGCCGACCCACACAACACTTCAGAGCAACTCCACGACTCTTGGCTGGGAGCAGATTTGCTCATTACAACAATTAATCCTTCTCTGAGCAACCTGTCACCAAAAGCCATGGAAGCTGTGTGGACCTAATGGTGGCTCCACACTTGCCCACCTCCTCCCAAGCTGCCTATCTCTTCTCAGACAAGCCCAGGAACAGCTCGCAGAGAACCCGAGGCACAACCACACACGCTCCTGGGCAAGGCACCAGGACAGCAACTGAAGTTACAGAAGTGATTAAAGCTCTCTGGTAAAAAGCAGAGAGCTCTGCTGCAAACCCAGCAGGGCTTCAGGAGCCACAGAAGACTCCCAGCAGCAGGCCAGTGGGTGGGTGGAGAACCTGTGTCCTCCTGCCACGCTTTGGGAAGGTGAGCTCTGAGGACAGAGGTGCTCCCATGAAGGCTGCAGTGAAGCTCAGAAACCAGGCTGAAGTGGTGCTCTGCTCTGGGAAATGGCTTTGTGAGCTGCATGAGGCAAGCCCTGAACTGTAGAACCATAGTCCTTTTGGCTGGAAGAGACCTTTCAGATCACTGAGTCCAACCATTCCCCAGTACTGCCAGGTCCCCACTGCCCCGTGTCCCTCACACCACATCTCCACGGCTTGGAAACCCCTCCAGGGGTGGGGACTCCACCACTGCCCTGGGCAGCCTGGCACAGCCCTGGGCAACCCTCAAGGGCAAGAAATTCCTCCTCATGTCCAACCTCAACCTCCCCTGGAGCAACTTGAGGCCATTTCCTCTTGTCCTGTCCCTTGTTCCTTGGGAGCAGAGCCCGACCCCCCCCTGGCTCCAGGCTCCTGTCAGGAGCTGTGCAGAGCCAGAAGGTCTCCCCTGAGCCTCCTTTGCTCCAGGCTCAGCACCCCCAGCTCCCTCAGCTGCTCCTCCCCACACTTGGGCTCTAGACCCTTCCCCAGCAGCTCCGTTGCCTTTCTCTGCCCACGCTTCAGCCCCTCAGGCAGAGGTCAGTGTGAGTCCCTTGGGGAAAGATTCCTGGTGAAGTCGGGCAGCTCTGGGACCAGTAGTGACACAGGATGAGAGCCTGGACAAGCAGCAGTCAGGCTGCAGCAGGTATCAGGCAATGAGCAGAGCAAAGGGCAGTGGGGGGAGACCATCACCAGGAGAGGCCCTGGGTGAAGGTCACAACCCTCACAAGGGATGAGTTTTACAGCTCGAGAGAGGGGAACCCTCCCTCAGCCAGATCAGAAAGGCAGCCTGGGCACTGAGGGGCTTTTGCAGAAGATGTCTGGGAAGGAGGAGTGCCAGGGTAGAAGAGGTGGAGGTGCTGGGGTGTAGGAATGGCAGCTTGCAGCTGTCTCCTCCAAGAACAGATGAGCACTATGGATGGCTACAACAGCACCAACCCAGCAGAGCAGCTGGGTATAAACCACAACAAGGTGCTGAGCACCCCTCACACCCATCCACAGGGCAGCTTGGGGGTGACAGGTGTGAGAAGCGAGGCTCCTCTTACCTGGGTGAGGTGAAGAAGGTGTAGAGCTTGTGGTCACTTCCAGCCAGGGCCTCCAGGCCAATCCTCTTGGAGGCAGTGCAGTTGTGCTGGTTGGGCTCTGGCTCGTGGTGCAGATAAGCCATGATGAACGGCTCGGGCTCGCTCGCCAGGTACTGATCTGCACAAAAACACAGAGCACTTCAGGAACACCAGGGAGAGCCTGAGCACCAGCCTGCTGCCAGCAGAGCATGCTCGGGGGGAGTATCAGGAATGAGGAAAGTTGGGAGAGATGCCATCCCAGGCTGCAGCCTCAGTCTGCAGTTCAGAGGATCCCTGAGCAAGAGACTCTGGATACCATCATCCCTGACCAAGAGAGGACTGGATGAACTCCCACCAGTGCTAATGTGGCTCAGCAGAAGGACTGGGAGAAGCAAAAGGCTTCTCAGTGCCAGAACCACAAGCAAGCATTGCACTGGGGACTGGATAATGCCCATGGCAGCCAGAATCTCACCCATGCAGTGAGGAACCTGCTGGTTACACGTGACATCCCTTCCCATAGCAGTTATCTCTTGGCAGAGCCAAGCACCCAGCCCTCCTCCCCCATGGGAAGAGACAGCAAAGAGCACGATGGGTTGGATCTATCTGCACTACCATTGAGGACTCTGTAGGTGAGCTGGAAGTGCAGTCCTGCCTCTCTGTTGTTGCTCTCCATGGTCACAATCAGGTTCACAGACGTTCTTGCCTCGATGACTTCAGTGCCAGCAGAGAGGTTGTCAGCCCCCGTGCTGTTGGACACCATTACAGTGATGGCTTTCTCTGAGTCCAGGCTCCCAATGGGGATCTGCACCCCGTTGTGTGTCTGGAACTCCATGGAGGCCACCTCTGTGGACACGGTGTAGTTGCTGATGTACCCAAAAGGGAAAGGGTTGGAGTCCACCTGGAACATGACTTGAATGACATCCGTCAGGTTGGAAAGGGTGGTGTTGAATGCCTGGGGGATGGAGAACTGGCAGTTTGGTGTGTTTTCATAGCAAAGCAAGTTGAAGGGATCAGATCTCTTGCCTCTGGCCTTAATTTCTCCTCCCACCAGCTCGAGGGGCTCTTCATTCAGCACTCGAGACTTCATGAGGATGCGCATCAGGCTGGAAGACAGGTTGTAGGCTTTGGGAGCTAGCAGCAAATTGTGGGAATCACCAAGAAGCTCCTGGGGCTTGGATTCTTGTGAAACTGTATTGACAAGATGAATCAGGTCACCTGCCAGGAGAGAAATCAAGGTGGTAAAGGAAGGGGTTAATACCCTTGATAGTGGCTACAGTCTAGATAACGCCTGACGCCTCCCCAGAACAACCAGACAAGTCTTCCCTTACTTCTCACTCTTAACTCTACACTGAGCACATGATCCCTGGAAATGCTCAGTAGCCCATCACTAAAATCTGAGCTGTCAGCAGCTCCTGCAGTCCCTTGGCTAAGCTGCACAGTTTGGAGGTGAATATTTACTCACAGCAGGCTTCAGCTTCCTCCTGTAGAGTGACTAGAACACCAGACTGGGGAACAAGGGGAGGATGGGCAGAGCAAATGTGTGTTAATGAGGTTTTTTTGCACTATAAAGTGGTCTTTCCAGGGCAACCAGGTGGGAATTTCCACACAGTGTTCACAGGTGCCCCAGTGAAGTTTGGCTGGCCTCCCCAAAAAGGCCAGCATCAGGAAGCCATAGCTGCTACTCATTGTTTACTAAAAGGAGAATTCCCTGGAGTATCAGGGAATGACCTGATATGAATGAGTTTATTAAAAGCTGCTCTGTCCAAATGTCTGCAGAGACAGCTGCCAAAGGCAGGACAACCCTGGGCAAGACCCCTGCCCCCAGCAGTGCCTGGTCAGCCATGACCCACCCCTGTGTGAGCAGTGACCTGTGATGTTGAGGATGTTGTCGGCGATGCCAGTCGGTGTCACTGTGCCCTGGGTCGTTTCCCCCTGCAGAATGGTCATCATGGTCTCCAGCTTGTTCAAGGTCCTGGTCAGGCATGACTTGCAAACCAGCTCCTTGCTCACCACCTGCACAAGAAACACAGTTTGGTGCAGGAGGAACACGCCCCAGGAGAGATGGAGGCAGCTGGAGGCAAGTTCAGCTGGCTCAGCCCTGCAGAGACCTGAGTGCAATTCTTCAAACACCTTCTGCACTCTGACAGCCACCCCTTGCTCCTTCCCACCCCAGGGAGGTGACTGCAGAGACCACGGCTGCTCTGCTGACACTTGTGAGGTGCCAAGAAGTTGGTGGTGTCTGCAGGACTCTTGCATCCACCTCCTCTCTGGAAAAGAGCAATATGGGGCAGCATGTTCCAGTCCCCCAGAGCTCACTTGTAAGGACCCAGCACGTCTCCTGCTCTCCAATCTCCTGAGCAGCCCTTTGGGACTACACCCTATTCCTACAGCAACCAACCAGAAGGAGCTGGCTGAGACTCCTGCATCCTCTCTCCTCTCTTCAATGGACACAGGATTTAGCCCTTACTGAATCCATTTCAGTGTCCAAATGCTCCTGGAAGCTGTGGGAGGGATCCTGCCACTCAGGCATGATGGATGTCCCTCCCTCTGCTCCCAGATGTGTCCAAGAAACAGAATGTTCTCGCCATGGCCTGAAGCTCCCTGCACTCTGAGGGCTGGATGGGAGGGACCGAGGCAACACATGGAAGCTGTTACCACAACCCTGTTCCTAGCTCTTCTTTCTTTTAATCATCACAGGGTTCAGACGTGATTCACCGTATGTTTTGGTGAAGAATCAAAACAGCATCTGTAGGTCTAGAATTCCCCCTTTCTGCTTTTATTTGTAAGCAATGAGAAGTGAGGACATGCTGTGTAAGTGAAGTCCACGAGGCACAGACAGGTATCAAGGAGGTGGGGAAGAAAAAGGGTTATGGGGAGAAACCACCCAAGGGGAGCTACTGCTTAGGAAGGAGAATCAGCTGGAGGAGACTGAGATTCTTTTTTTTTCCTTTCCAGGAGAAATGAATTCTAATTTTTCCTCTCCCCTGTAGGTAAAATGAAAAAAGTATCAGCACTGACTGACAGTTCTACAGGAATGGAAATGTGTGAACTCTGAGCTTGTCTCAACCACTTGGGAAATTCTAGGTTACTGTTTTTCCACGTTTTCCATTCCAGTCCAGAGCAGAAGCTGGTCCTGGAACATCAGCTTTTCCTGTGGAACAAAAATTCTATTTCTAGACCTAAGCTTCCACAGTGAGATCAAGTCCCAGGGCAAGAGCACAGGGAGAGATGGAAACCAACAGATCCAGCATCATTCTGGGATGCGACCGAACCCCGAACCCCTGCGCAAAGCTGGGCAGCAGGAGATGGCTTTGGGAGTTTCCAGACTTTGGAGCAGAGAAGGGAGCAGCAGAAGAGGGTCTCTGGGGGGGTGCAGAAGCCTGTCCATCACCTGAGTGTCGAGGCTGCTGCCCTGGCTGGGGAGGTGATGAGCAGCTAAGGCTGGGGTACACAGCTCCAGTCCTGAGAGCAAAGCTCTGGGAGGGCGGGGAGGAGGAGCTGCCAGGGCTGGCTGGCTGACCACCAAACCCCAAGCACGTTATATAACTGGGCTCTCTTCCCTTTGCCCATCTGACAAAACACACAGAGCCACTCCTAAAGCCACCAGGCAGCAGCCTCAGCACCGGGGAGCTGAAACTGGGAGCTGGTTGGTGAATCCAGTGCACCCAGTCAGAAGCAGAGCAGAGCAGTCTTCTAACCCTGTCCTGCAGAAACAGGGCTGGAAGGAACGTCAGCCCCTGGCACTGTCCCCTGCCTCAAAGCAGGTCCAGCTCTACTCCTGTTAGGCCTGATGGGAGTCCAGCCTGTCCTCAGAGATTCTGCAACTCCCCCAGCAATTTATTCCAGTGTGCTGAGGCCTCTTCTATGGGCTCCATCTGCAAGTGAAGGAACCTACTTGCTAGCAAGCTGCCATGCCAGGGCTGGGAGCAGAGAAGAAGCAGAGAGATCTCAGGTGCTTCTTCCAGCACACAGAATCACAGAATCACTCTGGTTGGAAGAGACCTTTAAGATCATTGAGTCCAACCATTCCCCAGCCCTGCCAGGTCCCCACTGCCCCGTGTCCCTCACACCACATCTCCACGGCTTGGAAACCCCTCCAGGGGTGGGGACTCCACCACTGCCCTGGGCAGCCTGGCACAGATCTTTCCATGAAGACATCACCTCAGCAACACCTGCCAGACCGGTGGCACAGCACAGGGCAGAGCTGACAACACTCAGCAACAGTGTCACCACAGCACATTGATGATGTCCAACAGTGATACCTGTGTGGTGTGTGTGTGGGAGAGACAGGGAAGCCCAACAGGAACTGAAGAGCACCTGGAAGAGCAGGAGGCTGGAGGAGGTGGTGGGGAACATACCGTGCACTGTGCCAGGGCAGCTGAGATCTGCTGGATGTCATCCACTGTGTTCACATTGAGGGAGTTCAGGGTCTCTGTGATGTTGTTGCGAGTCCAGGTCCGGAGCTCAAACTCGTTCCCAGCCTCAGGTTCCAGCAGCACCGAGCGCTCGTACTGGGGGGAGAAGCAGGCAGAGCCAGGAGATGCACCAGGCTGCTTCAGAGGATGATGAGCTGTGCTGAAATCACCTCCCCCCTGCACTGCCTGCCTCCCTGCCCCAGAGAGTGAGCTAACGAGCTGGTTTTTCAGTAGAACTTCCTCAATTTCACTTGCTCCAAGCTTAACAGCCCTGCACTTGAGAGCTCAGCAGCAGAGCAGTGTGCAGCTTGTCTAGCTAAGCACAGTGCCTGAGCTCAGGGGGATCACCCCTGCCTGGATTCCAGGCATGCAGCAGGCTCTTACTGGGCTGGAAAGCCTCAATATAGACCAAAACTCCTGCCCTGCCTATGGAGAGGCACATGAAGGGACTGGGCTCTACTTCAGGCAGGAGTGAACGTGAATGCTGCCAGGAGGATGATGCTCCAGGCAGAAGATCTTTCCAGCTGCATGAGCTCAGCAGTCAGAACAAGGAGGTCTCAGCACCCAGAGCACCACCTGAGCAGGAGAGTTGCCAGCTCCCCTGAGTTGCAGTGGGGTGGCCTGCTCAGGGGAAGCATGAAGCAGGTCGGGGAACCTGGGCTAAGGTTTCTGTTTCTAAATTCAGTGTTTAGACTTGAGATTGGCAGTACAGAGGAAAAACTCCCTGAATATGAGGACAAAAAAGCAGCTGCAGGGGGGACACCCAGGCCACTCTGAAACCTGTCTGACCTCACAGCCCCTCGGCTTCCCCTGGTCACTGTGTGTCTGCAGCTTGTTACTCTTTTTGCTGCATGAAAATAGCTCCAGCCCAGTTCCCAGCATGCACACACACTGATTTACATGGAAAACTGTAGCATTAGTGACTTCCCCACATTGCTGTACGAAAACCTTGCCAAAGAACATTACTGGTGACGATGGCAAGGCCTTCTGGAAGGCTCTCTTGGGCAGAGAGTGCTGCTTTACCTCATTTAAGATGGTGATGAGGGCCAGAGAGTACTCAATGACCTGCTGAGGGTCCCCTTGCTTCACTAAGCCCTGGAGCACGGTGTCAGTTTGATTGTAGAGCCAGTGGGAGAGGCTGGGGAAGCCCTCGGGCAAGCTGATCTCCATGGAGCTGCCAAGGGATGGGTTATGTGCAGACTGTCAAAGGGGGCTGGGGGCAGGAGGCAGAGTCCACCTTCCAGCTGGGAAGGAAGATGAGGGGGAAGCAGGTGGTTAAACAGCGACAGCATTGCTGACCCCTGCCCTGGAGCCCAGTTTGCACCAGCTCTATGTAGGAACATCATGGACTGAAGCCTGGTTCCTCACTGGCCCAGCTCTGTGGAGCTGCAGCTGGAGGATGCTCAGGGGTGCCTGGAGCCCAGAGGAGGAAATCCAGGTTTAGTCTGATGGCGCAGACACAGCACTTAAAACCAGGGTCGGTGTGCTGGGAGGAGCTTCCCTGCTTTTGGCATCCCTCCTCAGGGTCTGAGGAACAGCTGGGACCCAGATCCTCCTCCACAGGCACTGCAGGACCCTGTGCTCCAGCCTGGGAGGCCAGGACCAACCACATGCACAGTGCAGGGAGCTGCAGTCAGCCTTGAGGAGCAATCCTGCAGCTCAGTCAGGCAGCAGAGACCAGCTCAGGATGCTGCCCAACAACCTGTGGGCACTTGTCAGCTGTATGGAGCACACTGGAAACAAGGGGCACTGGCTGAAGGGGTAACTGAGCTTTCATGGCACTGACCCTGCTGAGACTGGAGCTGCAATCCCTTCCACTCCATTCAAATGCACTCCTTGGCTACATCAGACCTCCCTGCCTCTCAGCAGCGGGACACCAGGCTACCCACAGTGCCACCAACTCACAGAATCCCAGAATCCCAGCAGGGTGGGGTTGGAAGGGACCTCTGGAGATCATCTCATCCCACCCCTTGCTCCAGCAGCTCACCCACAGCAGGGTGCCCAGTGTCACAGCCAGGAGGGTTTGGGATCTCTCCAGAGCAGGAGACCCCACAGCCTCTCTGGGCAGCTGCTCCAGGCTCTGCACCCTCACAGGAAGGTTTCCCTTCACTGGTGCAGACGGGTGCCCGGGCAGGGGTGGGGGAGGGGGGGACTGGCAGCAGCCAGCAAGAGTCTGGCCCCAGCCTCTTGCCCCCCGGGCTTGATGATCTTAAGTGCCATCTCAGCACTGATCAGATCCCCTCTCCCTTGAGGGCTTCTGATGCAGAGGTGACAGAGCACAGAGATCTCCTGGGACAGTGGCATCGTGCCTTCAAAGCAAAGTGTCCCCAGGGAACTAAGGAGGTGGCCAGGGCAGCAGTAACATGGGAAACTCTCCCCCTCCTTTGAGTGACGATCCACGAAGACTGGAATTCTCTCTACTGCCCTCCTGCTGAGCCTCCCCTCACCCTCCTGCCAACAGCCTCCAGGGGCCAAACCTCTCAGGCAGGCTCTGCCGAGCCCTTCAGGGCGGGTTCCCAGGGCCAAGGTGCTGCTGAGGAGCGGGGGCCGGGCGGGGGCACCGCCAGGGCGGCCCAGC